AAGCGATAGCTGTGAAACGAAGAGTCCAATAAAGCTCCCCGTCTAATCGGGTTCTGCCCGCCGTTCGACATACGCTTTGGACCTTAGATTCGTCTAAATATGGCCTTGTAACAGTGACTGTCCTTATAAAAATGGGCAAACCAATAATATACAGCATTATAGATCTTAATTTGGCCTTAAACATGACAAATATGCATATACGCTAGAAGGATGTAAGTAACAAGTAGACAAATGCATCTGTTGACTTGGTTCACCATGCGCAGCATGGAACCGACACGCGCAAAAGTCCTCTGAAGAACCTAGCTGACCTGTTTTACTGGAATGAATCTGAAAATATTCATTCATGCTACACTCTGTCTGGGGTTAAGGATGACTTATGGGTCCTTAAACAGGACAGGAAAACTAGCACACATAACCTTCGTAAAATTATGTGCAGGGCTACCTTCGTTACTTGGGCGGGTGTTCCTACTTCCGTTTCCTGCTTTGGGCACCATATAAGTAAACCTTACCCACCTGGACACACCTTTAACTAAGCCCTACTTCAGAAAGTATGAAACTGAGGGATGTAGAAGGTTTAAACGGAATAAATAAAATTTCCAACCCGCTTTGAAATGTTAACACTTCCTGTCGGAGGAAAAACACAGAGTTCAGATACCAAACTTTAAGTCCTTTTTGACTTAGACCAAGATTTCAGAGATTTAGCTTGGTTAGGACACCTCAATAACCCATTTACTGCTTAAACTGAGTTGACCTCCCATCTAGACTACTTCTGTGAACAGCAAAGGGCATCCTGTGGGTACGCACTGATCATCATTTCATAGGCTTCAGTAGTATTGGGTTTGTGCGTGGAAATTATTGCCTTCACGTATAACAACTGACCCCGAGCTTACCGTTATGGCGGCCCGCATATGGGCAGCAAGCCTGTCTTTCAGTGCAGCGAAAGTTGCATCTACGTTGTAGAGAGAGGAGTCAAGGGCCACCAAGTCGGCAAGTCCAGAACCAGGTGGGCCAACCGGGCAAATGTTTCTCACGTCAGGGGAGGCACATGGTAGATCTGCGATGGATAGTCTGTACCGATCGGTCTCTCTCGCAGAGTCCTGTAGTAAAAAAAAGAAAAAAATACTTTTTTGTGGGTTTTTGTAGGAGAGAATGGTAACTGCGATGCTGCCAACCAGTGCTCACTACCGGCTTATTCAAATCTCCCAACCCCCCTCTCCTAATAACAAGCACATGGGTTAGAAAGTGTGGAGGT